GTGACGTCGGTGCCTGCGATGGCGGCATTGGTGGTGGCGTGACCAAGCAGCAGCGACAGCTCGCCCAGCTCCTCCCCCGCTGAGCGCGTCGCGAGGTCGAGGTCGGGTTGGCCTGGCGCGGGGACAGCGGCGGTGTAGTCAAGGGAGGGGGTTGTGCTCACTGGGCTATCGTCATTGTGGCGGCGGCGTTCAAGGGTTGTGCGCGAGGGAGTCAGCGCGATGGAGGGGCAGGGCAGCGGCCACCCTCGCGCTTGAGCACGAGGTCGACACGACCGTCCTTGATGAAGAACATCTTGGTCGAGGTGACGCCCTGCTCGATCAGTGTCTCGCCCGCCGTGAGGCTCCTCTCCGATCCCGTCTTGTCAAACGTCTTCTGCAGAAACTCCATCCTCGCCTTGATAACCTTAGGGTCGGGAGCGGTCTTGGCGGCTTTCTTCGGGGCCGCCGCCTTGTACTGTGATCCGCCCTTGCTCTGGGGCTGGCCCATCGCGGCTCTCTCTCTGAACCGGGCCGTCGCAGCGTCGGCCAACGATCACGATGGACGTGCGACTGTATCTAGATACTCGGAAGGCGTTCCACGCGCGAGCGTTTCCAGGCCCCTCCCTGGGTGTTCGGACCTTCATTGCCTAGGTGTCGCCGCTGCGCGGTCAGCGCAATGCGCAACCAGTCAGTGATGACCGTTTTGTCAGCAGCAGACAGGTGCCAAAGTCGAGGACAACCTTCACTCACTCATCGATTAGGGGTCCCGTACCATGCGGAATCGACCCTATCCAGTGCTCAAGTGCTCATTGATTGATGGATGGATGGCTATGGGGGTCTTTGTTTGTTTGTTTGTGGTGTTGCGTGTTGGTGTGGCGTCTGAGCTTGGATCTGTGACTAAAGCCGGTTACAACTGATCGATCCCGATCCCCACCCGAATAAATAACACACTCGAGTGTGAGCGCGGCATTATGCCCTCCACGCGAAACGCTAGTGATACTCATGATTGCACATTGTACTTTTGGGTACGGTGCCTGAGACCGCCTGCCTGAGTTCGCTCCTTGTGGCGGCGCCCGGGGTCTCTCATGACGGCGGTGGCATCCTCATTCTCGCTGGCAGTCGCCGCCGCGTCGGCGTATCCCACTCCCTGAGCCCCTCAAGGGAGCTTCTTCGGTACGCCGCCTCGCTCTGCTGTAGCGCGGGCTTGCAGTCGCTCAAGACGAGGCACCTCCAAACCTGTCCGCCACATCTTCGATCCGCCGTCGCCATCTTACGCAGGTAAGCCAGCACCGCGTACATTTCCGCGTCTATCACTTGCCAGTCGTCTGGCAATCTACCGCCCCACAGCCCCTTCACGGCGCCGCCCTTCCCCGAGCCGAGCGGCTCTTTATCCTTGCCCATCTTGACCTGCCTCCCGTTTCTGTCCGGCAGCGTCCGTGTCCCGACCTCAAACTCGTGTCCAACCGCAGTAGGAAGCGCGTCAGCGGGTCCTCCTGGAGTTCGGCGTCTCTTACCCATGCGCCGTGCCTCGGGGGCGAGCCCTCCATCTCTCCTACTAGGCTCCTAGCCCCGGCAGGCCACCACCGCCCTCCCACCTCTTCGCGTGTCGCCAGTTGCGGTCTCGCTTCGCTGCTCGGCGGCTCTTGCAAGGGCCAGCGTCCGGAGTCGGCGTGGCAGCGCAAACGGATCGACGTCACGGTCCGGCGGCACCGCGTTATTCCCTCGACGTGCTCACTACACACTTCGTAGTACACAAGTGTCAAGAGTCGAGTGTTGTGTAGGGGAATCTTACTACGGTTACTACACACTACTCTAACTTTCTTGTTGCACTTTAGGCACGTATAGAGGACCCCAAACCCTGATTTTTTTCTTCGCCTGCAGCGGGCAATTGATTTCGCTGCTGGCTCGTTGTGCACACACCGTTGTATATGGGCCACGAATGTCTTACTTAATATGAGGGGTTTTGACTCCTTCCAGCTCCTGACGCTATCCCTGGCAGCTCTAATGATCAGGGTCGGTAGTGCTGTGGTAGAGGGTGCTCATACTAGCGCAAGAGCTGCCACGCTCGCCCAGACCGTCCCCTTCTGGGGCCGGTTCCGCAGCCCGTGAGAGCCGACAGCGGGGCCGTGCTGCGGGTGCCTACTGCCGAGTGCCACAAACACTGCGCCGTCCCGCCATCACCTACAGGCTGTCTTATGTGATGGTTGGGCTGTCCAAACGCCACCATCTTGGCTCTTGCGACCTCAAACCCGCGAGCTGTATGGGTGGTCCTGACGTCGACAGACGCCCGCTGACCACGGTGAAGCTGAGCCGGAACGCGTCGACAAGTCTCGTCTGAGCCCGTGTCGGTCGCCGGCCGAGTCTCCGTGCACGGGCCGGTACGTCAGGCGTCACCTCCGCAGCCTCAGGTCTCACACTCCACCACCTCCGCCAGGACGCCTTCGGTGGCACGCTCGGCGGCGAGTTTGTTGCAGCTCCACAGCGAGCGCGGCGTCGAGCCTACTCACTCCAGTTGGTTAGGCACACTCGGTGGGGTCCACCGAGTGTGCCGAACGCGCGAGCGGTGCGTCCTGGCAGCCCGCGCTGGCTGCGGAGCTGCCACAAACTCGAGACACGCTTTTTCGGAGACATTTTCGACGCTTACTCGTAAATAAATAAATAAACAAAGTGTAGTGGAAAATCCAAAATCCAAATCGCAAACATAGAAATCCAAACACACACAGCCACGTGGCATAGGAGAGCAGGAGGTGAAAGGAGGTCAGCACAACTTCCAAGGACGCACGAGCGAGAAGCACAGCAGAGCAGACAGATGACGATCACCACAATAAAAACGGACACCTCTCTACTGTGAGATGGGTAAAAAGGAACAGGTCCCCGCCCTTGCGATCTTTGTGCAGGGTTCTTTGTGACGCTTACTCGCACAACATGCCTGCTTTCACATTCCAACAGCTGCGCTCTTTTTCAGTGTATGTAGCTCTTTCACACGACTTTATCCGTCACTTCCCCCTTGAACAGCTATTGAGGATTTCAGCCAACACTAGCGCAACTAGCCGCATGGGCGTGCTAGGCAAGGGGAAAGCGGCTGTGCCACGCGCTTAAGCGGCCGAGCTGCCGAGAAGTCGCCGCCGCATCTCATGCCGGAGGAGGGGCCGCTCCTCGCCCGCCGCGCCGAGCGCGTCCTGGTTCTCCTCGAGCCGCCGCAGCAGCCACGGCAGCACCTCGTCGAAGTGTCCGTACGGCATCAGCTTGAGCGCGTTGTACCCCATTAGCCCGAGAGTGAGGGTGAGGTCGTCCGCCATGCCCTGTATCTGCGCCAAGTGCACACACGGGTCGGAGCGCGGCAGCTTGAGCGCGTCCACTTCCTCGGCCACCGCGCGCGCAGAAGCGCGGTTGTGTGTCGCGAGCAGCAGCGCGGCCCGGCGCCTCGGGCTGGCCGGCGGCGCCTCGGCCACCGCCCGGAGCAGCGTCCTGGCACATGTGTCGTACGCGGCGTCGGTGTGGCTCTTGCTCGGCTGCAGCGCCGCAGGCGCACGCGACAGCTCCGTGTGGCGGTACGCGCCGCGCACAAGCTTGGCCGCGAACGAGTAGCCGCCCCCGCGCGCGGCCTCAAGCTCCGCCTCCACTTCGTGCTCCGCGCTGCGCAAGTACGCCTGCACCGTGTGGTACACCACCGGCCGCTCGGCGCCGGGCGCGTTGAACTCGGAGGCGAGCAGCCGCGCTAGAAGCGTGATGCCAGGCTGTCGGTGAGTCTGCTCCGCGTCGAGCAGCAGCGAGATGCCCTCCTCGCGCGCAGCCGCAGCCAGGGCGCGCAGCAGCGCGAGGCCCTCCTCGAGCTCGCCCTCCTCGGCGGCCGTGAGCGTGGCCGCCTCGGCCGCCGCGCGCAGAGCCTCTGGGCATCCACCGCCGCAGCCGCCGCCGCCGCCGCCGAGCCGGCCGGCGCCCACGGTGAGTCGCTCGAGCAGCGTGGGCGAGGCGAGGGCGGTCAGCTTGATCGGCACAAAGACGCACTCGCCCGCCAGCTCCGCCCGAAGCTTGCCCAGGAGCGCGACCTTGGCACGCAGATTGGCTTGCCGCGCATCCGCAGCCTCCGACTCCTCCGTGCTGTGGTCGACAATCATCCGCACCCCGGCAGGCGCAAGCGTCGCGGCCGCGGCTCGCACGTCAGCGAGTGATTCACCGGCCGTGAAGTGCCGGAACGCGGTCTGCTTCATTGCCCAAAGTAGCGGCAGACCCGCTGCCGGCCGCGAGGAGGCCGCCCGTAGCAGGGCCACCGCGCCGTTCACGAGGAGGCGACTGCCGCAGAGGTGGAGCACAGCCGCCGATTGGGCCAGCCGCGGAGAGGAGAGAGCGGCGAGGCCACGCGCCGTCCAGACGGGAGGCGCAACGAGCATCTAGATACGCTCCCGATGTTCAATGGCGTGGGAATTGGCGTTCACGCTCGATTACGCTGAAATCATCATCGTCATTGCTCTGTCTGCTGCTGCTTCTCGCTCGTTGTGCATCCTTGATTTTTGTTTTTTTTCAAACGGTCCAAAGGCAGGGACTTCTGGTGGCCAGCGGGGCCCACCCCGGCCCTACTACTACGCCCTCCTCCTCTCCCCGCCTCGGCCCGCCCCGCGCGTTGACGGCGCGAGCGGCAAACTCTCTGCCGCGCCAATCATCTCTGCGACCGCCGCCTGCGCGATAGCGAGCGAATCCCCGGTCGCGAGGCCGCCGCGCGTGAGTCGCACCTGCGTCTCGGCCGGCTCGGCGAGGGAAACGTGCGTGAGCTCCCACTCGCCTAGGGTGCACACGGCCACAAACTTTCGGGAGGCGCGCTCCCTCTCGGACCAATTTGAGCGTGGCCGCCGCTCGCCGTTGCCGTCGCGCCGTGCAGCCAGCAGCAGGTCGTAAGCCGCCGCCGGCGAGACGACGGGGGCGAGCGCATAGAGCGTGTCCGCCGCCTGCCAGCCGTAGAGCCCCCCGCCCTCCTGCTTGGGCTGCAAAGCGCGCGCTTCGATAGAGCGCTCGGCGACGCGCATCGCGGCCGCGCGCAACTTGGCGGCGGGGCGGTCGACTGGCAGCCGCAGCAACTCGAGCACCTGCGCGCGCAGCCGGAGGGCGGGCGGGGAGCGCACCCGTGACTGCTGCTCGTGTTTGGTGGCGCATCCGTGACTGGTTATGAGCTAGGAAGCTGCGCGCCCGGCCGACCCGTTCGAGCCCGCGTGCGCGCCGGTGCAGGTAGGTGAAGGCGACGGCGTTGGCCATCACCGCGGTGGCGAGCGTCAGGACGAAGCGGTGCGCCTCCGAGTCGCCCAGCAGGGCCTGCGTGTTTGGAAGCAGATTCCGAACCGCGCTCGGTATCGCCGACGGCTCGCGGCTCGGCGCCCACTTCGACTCAGGAACCGACGCCTCGAGGCTGTACAGGACCAGCGGCGGCTGGCCGCCGTGGCCGCCGCCGCCGCCCTGCGGTGGCTCGAGCTCCAGATGGCGCAGCAGCCATCGCGCCGAGGCCCGCTCCTCGACTGGCGGCCCGCTGGCCGAGGCTGCGCCGGGCACCCGGAGCCACTCGGCCTCGGCCTCCACCCGCGCGTAGGCAGCGCCCCCGTCCGCCGACCTCCCGAGCGGGATGCGGAAGGCGGCGGTGCCCTCCTGAATGTCCACGTAGCCTCCGACGACGCCACCCGTCGAGACCTCGCCCGCGCCGAGCCAGCGGCGCACCTCCTCCGACCGCTCGAGCTGGTCGCATGCCGTTTGGCAGATTGGGTGCTCGCGGAGCATGCGCTGGCGCATCACGAGGCCCGATACGACCACGCCCGCGCCGGCCAGCGCGCACGAGCCCGCGAGCCCGCGGAGCGAGGTGTTCTCCACGAAGGAGAACGCGCGGGAGGCGCGCGAGGCCATATACACACACGTGTGTATGCACCGTGTGTGTACGTACACAGAGAGAGAGAGATAATGTTCTTCGAGGTTCACCTCGGAAGCCCTCATACACGATATTCCGGGGGGGCTGCGCAAATTCTGTCGACACGGGCGCCATGCCCAAGGCCTCGCCGTCGAAGGCGCCGCTACCGAAGAAGCCGAGGGAGCCGAAGAAGGTGAAGGACGTCGCCTTGAACACGATGCGCGTCGCCAACTACAAGGCGAAGATGGCCGTCTACGAGGAGGAGATGGCGGCGTACAAGGTCGGCCAGCGGCGGCGCGAGGCGGACAAGGTTGCGGTCAAGCGGAGGCTCTCGGCAAGCGACGCCGATCCGGCGGCACCGGCGGCGAAGCGCCCGACGCCGGTGCCGAGCTCCTGCCTGCTTCCCCGCGCGTCGCCGCTCGCCGACACTCCACCCAGCCCGGCGCCGCCCTGCGCTCACCCTCGCCACCGCCGCACTTGCCCTCCGAATCAGGCGCGGCGGGAGACGCCCGAAGCGTGCGCGGCGGGCTCAGCCGAGGCGGCGCGCGCGCCACCTGCCGATACCGCGAGGGCGGGCAAGAGGCGCGGCGCGTCGAGGAGCGCCGCTACCGCCATGTGGCCCCGCTGGCCCCGAACCTCTTCAATCAAGCACTTCCTCTCTCCGCCGCCTTCGGGGGATGAAGCGCTCGAGATAGTCGGCAATCTCATTACCCTCCTCCTGCCGGGGAGCGGATCTGGCAGGTCCCGTATCCCCTTCCACGTGTCCGCCGCGCGCGTCGAGCAGGCTTAGGGTGCCCACAGGACCCAAAAGAAAATAGCTTTCCGGTTCAAAAAGGGACGCACGAGGCAAATCTGATGTTGGAGTGTTCCAATAGGAGCGAGGCCTCTTCCGTTGGGGGACCGAGTACATAGGAAACGAGGGTTTCCCATTGTGACCCGCTCCAGTGCGAGCGTGACACTGCACTTGGCGCCGAGCGCCTGCGGCACAGACCTTGTGCAAGCCGACCCTCGGTGACCACGCCGGTCCGGACCGATGGCGCTCGGTGTGGAGCAAGCAAGACCCCCCCCCCCCCCATCGGCGCGCGCCCGAGGTTCAAACGGCCGCCAGGAGCACCAAGAGGACTCCTCATGGCTGTGGTCAAGTGGGCTTCGACCGGCCTCGGCTGGGGGGGCGGGTTGTCCCGGCTGCGGACGCCTTCTGCAGCCCCCTGGGCGTGGGTCAGCACCCCAAAACTGCCCCTCGGCGGCATACAGCACTGCCAGCCAGCCTCTTCCTCCTCCTCAAGGGCTGTACTATAGGCCATATATTGCGCCGCCTCCTACTGGCAGCCGGGCGGGCGCGCGCCGCGGGCGCCTCGGCGCGCGCACGGCTCGCAAAGTTCGAACGAGTACTGCCGCCCGGCCGCCTCAAGGCTGCCGGGCGGCAGTGAGGCGGCCGGGCGGCAGTACTCGCCTCGCAAGGCGCGCACCCTCCGGCTGCTCTGGCTGCTGCGCCGGCGGCCGCTGCGCTGGCCGCTGCTGCGCCGGCTGGCGGGCGGTACGGCCGCCGGCGGCCGCTGCACCCGCGCCTTCCCTCGCGGGCGCCGTCGCGCCGCGCGCGCCCAACTCTGCTGGTACACGGCACGCGTCGTCAGACAGCCGCGGAGAACAGGCGGTGCTGTGCGTGAAGCGCGCGCGATCTCGTACTTTTAAGGCTGGATCCGGCCATTCCAAGGGTATACCTTTGAGAATCCCCAGCGTCCCACCCTCCTAGTCACACTCTCAATATCTCGACTCTCCAACACGAAGTGCTGCGATCGGGGGTGGCCCATTTCTTTTTTCCTTTCTTTTTTTGGGTCCTGTGTGGGCACCCTACGTATCAATGATAGGGATCTGTGTTAGTGTAGGAATTCCGAAATCCCTTTGTTCTTTCTTCCCTTCTTTGAACTCAAGATAAAAGGAGTGCGGGAAGGGTGCACGCTCTGTGTGGGCACAAATATTGGTGAGTCCGGGCATGTGCCGGCTGAGGAGTGTTCGAGAGTGTATGTGCGTATGTCTGGGGTGGGGACGCTCGCTGTACGCTGAGTGGTGTGGCGGCGAGGCGAGCCCGCGCGAGGGCGAACGTGGCGGGAGGCGGGTGCGGGCGACTCCGCTGATGCCTCCCCTCACGCTCGTGTCGCCGTGCTTCGCGCGGATTCCGATTTGGCCTTCGAGCCGCAGAGGGAGGCGCACAGCCTCTGGAAGCGGCTGGCCTGATAGAGCGGGCGGGGCGCGCCCTTGACCAGCCGGCGCTGCCGCTGGCCGGCCGGGATCTGCCACGCTTTGAGCGCATCGATGGGCAGCCCGTGGTACTCGCACTCCATGGCGAGGTCGCGGAACTGCGGGTGGAAGCGGCGCATGTAGAAGGAGTAGAAGACCTGCGGCAACAGCACCACGGCCGGCACGAGCAGCATGAGTAGCCAAAAGGTGCCCAGTTCGTTCACGTTGCCCCACAGCTTGTGCCAGCCGAGCACAAACTGCGCGATGAACTCGCCGCTCGTGCCCCGGTTCTCGGGCTTGATCTCCGAGGCAACCACGCCCCCCACCCCCCACCAGAGAACAACCTCGAACCCGATGAGGACGAAGCTCCAAATGTTCCACGAAAAGAACCAGAGGATCAGCTTGAGGTTCGGCACGACGATGGCGAGCGTGATGGTGCACGCGCCGATCAGGTAGAGGCCCGGGCTCTCTCCGTCGGGCGACAGGCCGTCGAGGCTGAAGACGCAGAGGAGAGCGATCGCGAGCGACTCGTAGATGGCCTGGAAGATCCAGCGCAGCGTGGCGCGCCAGTTGAAATAGAAGTGGTTGCCGGGCCCGAGGTGGTAGAGCTGCGGCAGGGCGAGCGACGTCTCGTCCGAAACGTCCTTGTCGAAGACGCTGAACCAGAGGATGGGGAACATGGTGAGGAGGACGTTGTACAACTGGTTGCCCGCCTCGAGGTTCCACTTGGTGCCCGAGAAGGCGGCGAAGAACTGCGCCCAAAAGATGACGAGGGTGAACATGATGTTCTTGTAAAAGACGTAGTAGACCGTCACGGCGATGCGGCGGTAGTTGTGGCGTCCCTGCACGAGCAGCATCTCGCGCAGGAAGCGGAACTGCGCGATGGCAAAGTCCGCCGCGTTGACCGCGAGCATGCCCTCCTTGCCCGAGATGCCGACGCCCACGTGCGCCGTCTGGATCATGGCCACGTCGTTGGCGCCGTCGCCGATGGCCAGGGCGCTCACGCCGCGCACGTTGCGCCGCACAAGGCGCACGAGCTTCGCCTTTTGCGCCGGCGCGCAGCGGCACGCAACCACCGTGGCGCACGTCTGCGTGAACCTCAGGAACTCGAGCTGGCAGGCGGGCGCTTCGGGCGCGGCTCCAAACAGGAGGCCGAGTGCGCCGCCGTCGATGACGAGGGCGCGGCGCCCACGCTGCGCGTTGGCCGATAGCTCCATGCTCTCCTCGGCAGCAGCCGTCGCCTCCCTGAGCGCGCGCGTGATGTCCTCCACGTTCGGGTGGGTTTTGAGCCCAACCACCACGACGGTGGTGGTGCTGTCGAGCAGCTCGCACGCGTAGGCGATGTTGATGGCGGTCTCCTCCTTGTCGCCGGTGAGCATCCACGTCGCGATGCCCGCCTTGACGAGGTCGGCGATGCAGGCGGGAACCCCCTCCTGCAGCTTGTCCTCGAGCGCAGTCGAGCCGAGCAGCCGCATGCGCGACTCCATCGCGTCACACTGGTCATCAATCGCGTTTGGCTCCTCGCGCGACTTCTTCTCGACCTCGTCCAGATCCGAGGCGGCGCGGCGGTACCGCTCACTCCACGAGAGGTACTCCTCCTCGCTCAGCTCCTTGGAGGCGATCACGAGCGTGCGCAGCCCGTCGTTGGAGTGGTCGTGCATGTGGGCCTCGGTCTGGGCCACCAGCTCCTCCTGCCCCGAAGCCAGTAGCGGCAGCATCACCTGCGAGCGAGTGGTCAGTCGGTGGGCCGGCGCGACCAGGGCGACCCCCCCCCACAGCCCGTTCACTCCCCCCCCCACCCCCCGCGGCGGCGCCGCCCTCGCACCGTGTCGGCGCCCTTGCTGAGCAACGAAATGGCGCGCGTCTGCGAATTGCGCACCACGATCGACATGCGCCGCCGCGCAGAGCTGAACTCGAGCACGTCGAGCACCTCGTACTGCAGCGGCTCGCCTACGCGCGACGCATGTGCGCGCCTTTGACGTCTCGGTCCGGCGCGCCTCGCGCTGCAGCATCGACACTCACCGTCTGGGCCCTGCAACTCGACCGTGTCGTGATGGCGCTCGATGAATCGGTACCCGAAGCGTTCGGCGCCCGCAACCAGCGCGGTCTCGTCGGGCGAAGAGGCCGAGAGCGAACGCTCGCCGTAGACCACCTCGGTCACGACGGTGTGGCACAGCGCGAGGTGGAGGAAGAACTCGCGGCAGCGCTTCCCCTGCTCGTCGCTGCCTACAAACACGAGACTCTGCCGCTGGGACGACGGAGCGCCGCTGGCTTGCTGGCGCCGCGCAACTCTTGGCACCGCCCAGCGCCTCCACGAGCGCGGGATCGTCGAAGTTGACGTGCCGGCTGATCACGCTGCCTCCGGGCGGGCTGTGCGCGGCGGCGCCCTCGGTGGCGCCCGCCTCGACGTCCTCGCCGGCCGGGAGCTCGCCCAGCCGCTTCATCCTTGCGACCGCGATCTCAGAGGTGCCGCGGCCATAGGCGATCCCGCCGATCGACGCCTTGCGGAACTGCATCACGTTTTGGGTGAGCGTGCCCGTCTTGTCGGAAAAGACGTGCGAGATGACGCCGAGCTCGTCAACCAGCTGGGAGTTGCGCACCCGCATCGGCGTGTCCGACTCGGGGTCGTACATTGAGAGCGACCACTGCATGAAGTACTGGATCAGCTTTTGCGAGAGCAGGATGTTGACGTAGAGCGTCACGGAGACAAAGGCCGACAGCAAGAGAAAGAAGTAGACTGTGTTGACCAAGAAGGTGGCGGCGACGCCGTCCTCCTCCTTTTGCGTGTTCATGTACCAGTGGTCCACCAAGTCGAGCTCGTGATACAAGGCCAGCTCGGCGGCGCCGGCGATGAGGCACAGCACCAGCAGCAGGAGCACGATCCAGACGATCATCTGGTTGATGCTGGATAGCAGGGTCGACTGCTTGTGCGAGGGCGCGCGCAAGCCCTGGATGACCTTTGTGTCGTGGCCAGTGTTGACGACGATCCCGAGCACGTACTCCGAGTTGCGCAGCGTGGAGCCGCGCAGCAGCATGTTGACGACTGTGAGCGGCACCGCGGGCCGCCCCTCGATGTGCAGCGTGCCGTTGTAGGTGTTTGGCGAGCCGTCGGGCGCCTCGGAGTCGATCGACCTGTGGCGACGAGGGCCGCGCACTGGGGACGAGCGCGCGCGCCTCCCGGGGGGGGGAGGGGTCGAGCGCGCGCGGGTCGACGGGGCCACGCGGGCGCGCGTCTCGCTCGCCGCTAACCCGGTGCTGTGGAAGGGAGGGCGGCAAGTGGGAGGCGGGAGCGCGGGCGCGCAAGGGCGTGGCGGCGCCCGCTCAGCGCGGCCCACGAGTGGAGCTGCGTCTCGACGGTGGGTCCGAGCTCCGCGGCCAGGCCCGCCGGCGCGCTCTTGCCCTTGAGGTTCGTCTCGCCGTCGAGCTGCATCGTCTCGACGTGGCACGCGCCGCGCAACGTGTCGGGGTCCGGCTCGGACGCCGCGACGAGCAGCAAGTCGGCCGGGATGCCCTCGCGATTGCAAACCTTGAGGAGGTCCCCAACCTGGACGTCCGTCCAGCGCGCGTCCACAAAGACGCCGTCGACGAGCCGACGGCAGCGGGCGGTGTTTGCGCGGTAGTCGGACTGGTGCCGCAGCCGATCCTCTTGGATCTTGATCGCCATGCCCATGAGCACCACCGGAATCAGGCCGAAGAGGGAGGTGGGCATGCCGCCGGTGCTCGAGACCTCGGGCCAGCACTGCAGCGCCGAGACGACCTGCGCGAGGCGCGCGGGCGCGGCTGGCTCTCGCCGGCGTAAAACTGCCGGGGTGTCGGCGGGCGGGAGCGCGCCAAAAAGTAAAAGTTCGATCGCTTGAGAAACAGCTCCTCCCAGGGCAGCTTCAGCGGGCCGGACCACCACGTGTAGCTGCTCGGGCGGGGAGGGGGAGGTAGGGGCAACGGGCAACAACGGTCGGGACGCGGGACGGGCGGGATGGCGCGAGGGGGGAGCGGAGGGACGGCGGCAGAAGGCCGGGCGCGCACAGGGAGGTGGTGATCCGGTTGCCGCCAAAGTCGGCATTCTCGTCGACCCGCGACGAATTGAAGTGGACGAGGCGGCGTCCGCCGCGGTCGGTGCCGCCGGAGCCGCGAAACCAGCAAAGGGCGGGCATTCCGCCCAGCCGCTGCGCGCCGCGCTCGGCAAGGAGGCTTTTGTTTTCTTCTTTCTCTGGGGATTTGTAGTCAAGCTAAAATTCCTACGTCTCTTCTCTTTTTCCTTGCGTTTTTTTAGCCAACCAACTAACTCCCTTTGCTGCCACTTCATGAATCGTCAGAGATACAGATTTTCAATACCTAATACCAACAACTCTAATTTGTTTTTGAGAACAGAGCTCAGAGGGATTGGCACCCCGCGCCCATTCCCGGGAACCTTCTTTTCTACCAGGCTACGATTGAGAGCAGCCTCGCTCTCAATCCTAGAAGCCGAAGGATTGGGAGCAGCACTCCTCGCAATCGTAGCATCTCTGTGCGATTGTGAGCACCCACCCACGCACGCTCGCAATCCTACATCTTCTAGGACTAAGAGCAGCTCCGCTCACAATGTGACTGGGTTAGATTCCCACTTCTCTTCTCTTTTTCTTGCATTTTTTGAGCCAACCAACTAATCCCTTTTTCGTCAAGAGAAATTTTAGGCAATACCCAATACCACAAACAACTCCATTTTTTTTTGAGAACAGACAGAGGGATTGAGCACTTGAGCACTGGATGGATAGGGTCGATTCCGCGTGGTACGGGACCCCTCGATTGGCACCCCGCGCCCATTCCCCTGCCCTCGCCCGCCACGCACCCCGATCCCGTCCGAATCTCCGCCCTTGCACAGGAGGAAAATGGAAATCTAATCAGATGGAAGCAGGAAGGAAGCTTCCATCCCGGCCGTGGTTCGAATCCACATGAGCCGATGGGTGAGGGGGAGACCCGCCCGAGGTCTGATGCTCACCCATTGAGGAAGTGAGAACTGCTCGCGGGCCTACCTGATCCTGCTAAACAAGCTCCTCTTGTAGCTCGATCGGTCACACAGCCATCACCGCCGACGTTTCTCAGTGAGACGATGGAGAGGGGGGACGCGACACGCTTCAGCAGCGTGCATCTCGATCCTGTACCGTGTTTGTTATGACCCCCCCCCCCCCCCTGAACACACCAGTGAGGGAGGGCGAGACGATCGAGGGGTCCCGTACCATGCGGAATCGACCCTATCCGGTGCTCAAGTGCTCAAGCCTACTCGGTTCTGTTAATGGAGTTGTTTGTGCCGCGCGTGGGGCGTGGTTCGTGAACAGATCATGTTCTGGGGCTCTCGGGACCTTGGGGGTTCCTGAGCCCTGGCCTCGACACCTCGACACCAAACCTCGACACCGACTCGACACCTCGACACCTCGACACCCCATGCCAACTCGACCAACTCGACACCCCTCGACACCCCTCGACATACTTCACCTTGAACTCGACGGCCGTGCCCGCGTACGACGCGTTCTGCTCCGCGCCGGTGAGCTGCGGGAAGTGCTTGCCCGGGAGCTTGACGGCCCTCGAGACTGTCAGCGGGCCCGGGTACTGCTTGATTACGTCCATGCCCATGGTCTGGAGCGTCGTGTTCTGCGTGGAGGTGGGCTTCTTGGGCGCCATGAGAGCTGTGTGTTGCGTTTCGCGCGACGGGTGGTGCACACCTTATTCGCGCGCACCGCCGGTGTGAACGTCTCGAGAGTACCCCCCAGGTACCGGTGTGGACATGTGGAGGGTACCTCGGTATAAGGTGCGCTAAGGTATGTATGTATCTAAGGAGACGGTTCACTTTGGTGGGGGGGGGAGCCGCTTTGGCCGTGGACCGCAAATCGTGGAGTTGCGAGTCACGCTCGGGCGGACAGCATCGATGCCGGCGCCGGACGCGGCGGCGAGGCACACGGGCGCCGGCGTGGCGCGTCGGCAGGCCCACCACGAGCGGATGCGCGACGAGCGCGCTCGGGAAGCGGCCGCGGGCGACGCGGAGCTTCCGCCGGAGGACGACGCGGTCGAGATGGCGAGCGCCGCCCACGTGCTGGACAGCGTGGCGGAGGTGGGCCCGAACTACACCCTGCTTCAAGGAGACGAAGGCGAAGCGGCGGAAGCGAAAGCGCGAGGATACCACCTTCATAAGGCAAACCGAATTACTGTGCTGCGCCCGGGGCCGCGGATTTGTGTGACGAGGAGCGTAAGGCGGGACGCGCTGGACGTCCGTGGGCGATGAAGAAAACCTGAGGCCGCATCACTGAGCCGACGATGCTATGGGTAGCCCCAGGGTGGCGCCCACCCCCATACCCTCAGGCACTTGCCTGCGCTCTGCTGACTCTCATCTAGCACCCTCTTGGGGCCTCTCCTGACCGCTGTGGGCCTCTCCAGACCTCCTCTTGACTATGGGAGTACCCCTCCTAGTCTACTTCCTAGGACACAGGCACAGGTTTGCATAATGCGAGCTTTTTCTCAAGGGCTATAGTGCAGAGAAGAAATGCGCATTAACTCGATGCCAGGGCGGCGCTCGACGGCCACACTGTCCTGCCCACCGGGGAAGAATTCTTTTTCGAGGTCTACCCGTCCGGCAGGACGCTTGCTCCGGCTCGCTGCCACCGCGGTGGGTCACCAAGGCATCTCCAGCGTGCGCCGCCATCACCGCGCGGCGGCCGGCGCGCCGGCCACGCCTCACCCAAGCAAAAGCAAAAGATCGCGCGCCGCCGCCCGCCTCGCCTGGCCTGCTCCTGCTCCTGCGCCTGCGCCTCGCCTCGCCTTGCAGCCGCGCACGCGCACGCGCGCGCTCGCGTCGCCCGCGTTCGCTACCGCGAAGCAACCCTCCACGCGAGTTTCGAACCGGGAGCCAAAAGCTCCCGGCTCGAACCGCGAACGGTTCAACCACCGCCGCTGGCGTTCTTGCAAAGGCAGTCAGGGGCAGAGCCTCATATAACGTGAAATCGCGCCGCGCGCGCTCGCACACGCCGCCCGAGGGCACTCCCACCCCCGCCGCCCTCGCAAGCTCACAGGTTGATTTGAGGAGAAGCAGCTGGGGGAGGTCAAAGCGGGAGCTGCGGGAGAAGGCGGCACGGCGGCGGCGGCGCGGCGCCCCCCATCCCCACGCCTCCGGGTCGTGCGTACCGCCTCCGGGCGTGAGTGTCCCCCCAGCGTCTGCTTGAGAGCAGACGCTCCGGTAACCAGGCCGAGAGTACCAGGCAGGAGAGGGGAGAAGAGCCCAGGGAGGGGAGAGGAGAAGAGCCCAGGGAGGGAAGAGGAGAAGAGCCCAAGGCGGCCTCCCTCTCCCTCCCCTCCCACCGGGCCTCCCTCTCCCTCTCCTCCCACCGGGCCTCCCTCTCCCCCTCCTCCCGCCAAGCACCAACAGTCTCAAGGGGCCAGCCGCTGGAAGGGGCAAGCCAGTGGCACGAGGGCTTCAGCCACGCAGCTACCAAGGGAACGCGACCCACACAAAGCACCACAGTTAGGCATACCCCCCGGCGCAGTGTCCCCCGCTATGTGTCGCCGTTCGTCGGGGCAAGGCGTCTGGGGCGTGGGGGGGGACCCCCCCATCTTTGTTTACCGATGCGTCCTAGAATGCAAAAAAGCATTCTAGGACGCACTTTTCATCTCATCAAAGATACCATGTGTCTCGGGTACACAGGGCATTCTAAGATGCGATGGCTGTCCTGGAGATGGCCGCGCCGTGGTCTCTTTTGTTGCGCGTTCCATCTTAGACGCCACACAAGCATCTATAGATGCACAGCTGTTCTGAGATGGCACTTGCATACTAGATCACATTTTACTATACTTGGACAGGGAAGCGTCTCAGGAGACACCGTGTGTCGGGTGCACCGGGCACCGAGGGGGGAGCACGAAGGCGGTGTGATCTCTCGGCACCCCCTGGGTTTGGCCCTGCCTTGAGTGCTCGCGAGAGGTCTCTCCTCGCGGCCTGCCCCTCCTGGAGAATCAGGCGCTCAGCACCGCGCATGCATCTGCTCGCGCCACGAGCTCTGGGCGCGAAGTTGCGCTGCTTAAGACGATCCGAGCGCCGCCTCCCCCCCCACCAGCAGCGGCGCGGCAGGTAGCGGGGCCAGTTCGAGGCTGAGGGAGAGGGCGTGCGCCTAGACACGAAAGAGACAGCGTACTTCCGAGAGTCAGCCACCAGGTGACACCTGCTTCGGTGTGCTAGCCAGCGCGAGCTCCGCGCCGACGCGGCGCGTGCGCCGCAGGTCTGTTGCAATGCCGGTGCGTCGTAGGATCTCCGCAAAGGTGGGCTCGCGGCGAGGGTAGTTGCCAAACGTACGGCTCCCGGTGCGCTTGTGCAGCGTCCTCCTCTTCGCCGGGTTCCGTTGATCAACCACAGTCGCGCGCGACAGCGGCGTTGCCGGGTCCTCCCGGCTCGCCTCCGGCTCGGGCCGCACCTGCCAATGTCCCGGGAGCAGGTGCAGCGTCATGTGGCTCGGGCGCTTGAGGTCTCTGATCTCATCGGGGTGGATACCAACGTTGCGGTAGAGTAAGCCCCAGTCCACCTGGGTGAGGGTTTGTCGTTGGTGACGCCGGTCGGAGGGAGCGCGAGCAGGGTGTGTGTGCGCGTATGTGCGGGCGAGGGCGGGGCGCCCGCTTCGCAAACGCAGCTGCTGGTCAGTGAAAAGCATGTGGCGCGCGCACCAGCTGGGCTGGCCCTGCGAGTGGCGCTGCGTTGGCCGCCATCAAACGGCTCAACGCAAAGGCGCTGGAGGAGGACGTTTTTGTCTCGCGGGACAGTCGGCATCTTCGGTCCGTAAAAGCCACTACGAGTATGCGGTGAGGCGGCTTATGAGAAAAGGGGACACGGCATACCTAGGCCCACATGCGTAACTACGTACTGCCATCGACATCATCTATGTACATCACCTATGTAGATCGGCGACACCGGCGCGACCGCGATCACCGACGCCCTCAAGGTCAATGCGGTGATGACCACCCTCAACCTCGGCGGCAACTACATCCGCGCCGAGGGCGCCGCCGCAATCTCCGAGGCGCTGCGCGGCAACGGGGTGCTGAAAGAGCTCAACCTCTGCGCCAACAGCATCGGCCCCACCGGCGCCACCGCCCTCGCCGACGCCCTGAAAGTCAACGGGGTGCTGACCAAAATCGTGCTCTGGGGCAATAACTTGGGCGACGAGGGGAAGGGAGTTATTCGGGATGCGGTGAGCTTGGGGAGAATCCCCCGGTCGGCTGCATGCCACCGAAGGCGCTGTCGAGGTTCGCCGAGCGCGGCGCAGGTTGGAGGAAGCCGCCACCGACGAGCGCGTTGGACTTTCGTATTCACTCCGGACAAAAAACGCGGCGCAGCGGACGGTGCGGGGCGTGCAGCCGTCTTAGCGGCGAGGCGCGGGAAGTTCCGATTTCCTCAACTCACGGTCCTTCCCCCGTATTTTGACGGATGACCGAAAATGCAAAATGATAAAAATGTGTGGGCAAAAATACGGGGATCGGGGTGATTACTTATGTCAAATCGAAATGTGGTGCTTGCACAACGCAACGCCAACGGCGTGTGAGAGAGCATCTCAGCATGATGTGATGGGAATCACAGAAAATGAAGAAAATGAGCTTCGAGCCGCCGGGCGGGGAGTGCCCCCGCCGTGGCGCACGACTTGCGACTATAATCTACCTCTTCTACCTAGCGCTTGGCGGCGTTGATCGCGACCTCGCTCTTGGGGACTCCCTCGGCGCGGCAGCGAAGGCTCGGTGGTCGGTGACTGTGTGGTAGGCACGCTGCACCCTCATGAAGCGGTTCTCCGCCTCTCGCCTCGCCTCAGGGGAAGCGCCGCGAATCTTGTCGGGGTGCAGCTGCAGCGAGAGCTGCCGGTACGCGGCCTTGACCTCCTTGGCCGAGTACCAGCTCGCCGGTCGCGAGGAGAGGCCCAACTCCTACCGCCATGCACTACCAGACGTCAGGGGGCCGCACGCGGCATCGCGCGGTGTATTCAGAGCACCGCGTGGACGCGAGGGCCACGAATACGGCTGGAGACACTTGGGCAAGTGCCTCCTCGCGCTGCTGGTCGGAATACGCGGAGCTGTCTTCCGCATCTAGGCCTAGAGATATGGGGAGATGGGGGGAGATGGGGGGAGATACGGAGCGGTCTTCCGCATCTCAGCTAGCGCCTTGTAGGCGTCGCCCAGCGTGAAGCCCACGCGTGCCCACCGAGTGCCGCCAACATCCCAGTCGAAGCACCTGATCGCGCGCAGCGCGCCAGCTGGTGAGGACGACACGCAATCTCGGCGAGAGCTCGGCGGCGGGGGTGGTTGGCAGGGGGGGAAGGGGGGGGGGAGGGGTTCCCGCTTGTTGATCGAGCCGGGAAGCCCGCAAAGCCGCTCGAACGAGGGGCCTGCAAGCCCCTGGCGCGGCTGCTTGAACCAAATGGGGTCCGGCCTG